AATTTTCTATTAATATATAAATGTTCTCTGTTTTTTTCAGGTGGGTAAATTGCAATATGTGTGCCATCAATAGCTCCTATTGTACCTGGAAAATTAGTATTAATATAATACCTGAAACATAATAGAAACATGTTTTGCTTAATTAGGTTTTTCCGCGCGCGCGTATTTAGATATAATTTTAAAAAAGATTCATATCTTTTTATTTCTTTCAAAACAAAATAATAGTTTGATTGCAATTTACTGTTGCTGAATAGTTTGAATTTCATTGGGTTGTGTTGGAAACTTTATCCAGTCTGGCATTATAATATTGATGGCATCTACAATTTGATGTATTACATTGCTAATTGATGATTGGCAGACACAATTTAAAAAATCCTGTCCGACTCTTCTCTGATAGGATCCAGAGCTTAAAAAGTCTAATGTTCCCAAAACCTATAATTAAGAAAACTCATATAACATGTAATATGTCTCTCACTACTAATTCAGATTATTATATAATGTTTTTAAATATATTTATATATAATATGTATATATACATATATGTATCCAACACTACCTTTAATTCTAATGGAATTGCTGTAGATCTAACAGCTGGTTGCACATAAGATCGTACATATTCACACAATGCCAATGTAGCATCTTTCGATAGTCTGTATGTTTGAACAACTTATAAGTCCTATACACATATATAAAACACACACACACACACACACACATACAGCGAGAGAGAGAGAGAGAGAAAGAGAGAGAATTTTTTGATAAAGAGCAAGCAATTTATGAGTTATATTTTTCAATTTTGCATATAGAAACGTTTGACTTCAACTAAAAATATAAATTTTTCTATATTGTTCTTGTGCATAACTCACACAATGTGTACTTCTACTTTATTTAAATTTCTTACTATTTGCTGTAATGTTTTTACTTACCTATATAAATATTGAAATTGTGATTCTAATATGTCAAACGGATTCGTTGTATCGCGCAAATGTCTTCTTTCTAATTTTAAATATCTTTTTTTTTCTTCTTCAGCAAGTTGAATTATCCACCACGCTGCAGCCATTACAAAATTAAAAACGAATAATGAAATATGAATGTCTATCTATCATAGACCATCTAACATTGTAAATATCAATATCATCCATAGATATCAATATCATTATAACTATAGAAAGTTTTGTGGTTTTGCATCTCACTGCAGTAGTACCAATATATATAGTCTAGATCACCAGATTTTCATCTTTCCGCCAGCACATTTGCTGGCGGAAAAGTTTGCATGAAAAGTTTCACATTTTCACGTCCCGCCGAGCTACATGATTATAAATTCACGTGAAACTTTTCATTTTTCGTCTGTCCGCCCTAGGGAAAAAGTTACATGATTGATCTCCTGGTCTAAATCAGTGTTCACAGTTCTGACTCTATTACAATATGCTGCTGGTGGAGGAGATGCTCACAACAGCAGCGGGTACTTGCTCGTGTTTTTTATATGGGGACCCCTATTTTTGACCACGGATTCTGAAAATGCGGAGTTTCAGAAGATGGAAGAGTAAAGCAAGTAGGATGGATGGATATAAAGAAAAAAAGTGATATACAGAATTATGTGAAAAGAAAAAAAAATTAAAGAAGAGAAGGTATAGTTATGAAGGCGAAAAGGGAAAGGCAGATATGGAAAGTTGTAAATAGAGACAGAAAGAAGAGGAAAAAAGTGATCACTAAAATAGAATTGCGAGAGTGGGAAAAAGAAGCAATTGCCTTTATTTTAAGAAGAAATTTGGTGAGTTAAATTGAAAAATAAAGAAAAGAGAAAGAAACAGTATAGGTATACTATAAAAAAGTGACAGTATATAAAAACGTTTGTTTTTATTTATAAAAAAAACCAAAAAAATGATAATCGGAATACTAATTGTTTTGAATTGAATCCGAAGAAAATGAAGGCGCGCGCGTAGCGCGCGCTGTCTGCTAGTCCTACCAGAAAAAGTGTGTGCAAACAATCAGAATCGATTCTCTCGATCTTGATTGTTACCTCTTTTCCGCGATGCTGATTGGTTGTCTCGAACATGTGCTTCGTTCACACGTTACATACTACTAAGAATGAGTTCCACTTGCCGTTCGCGGCGATCGTGGAATCATTTCATTCTCGTTTTTCATTGAAAGTTAAACAAGGATAGGTACCGTTCGCGAGCGTTGCGAGCTGCAAGTGGAACTTGTCCTAACTGTCATTGCGATGAGGGTTATGATTGCATATGACAGATTGAGTTTTATATTTATTTTTATTATAAAAAGTAAAATTGTGCGCGAGTGACACAGTGACAGTAAAAGAAATAGTGATATAATTTTGAATTGTCGCATAAGAGACGATCGAGAGTATTTTTTTTATTGTAAAAGAACTTGTGAAAAAAATAGAAATAAAATAAAATGTATGTGATATCTTTAGAACAAATAACCTGTTTATTATACCAATAAATCAATAAATTTTGAAATCTTGGAGTTTAATATAATATTTTTTTTATATTTTGTTTTGAATATTATAACAAATAAGGGTTGTGAAAAAAATATGCGCGGTATACAAACAAAAAAAGAGTTACATAAGAACTCCTGTTTTTTGACATGTAACTGAAAGAAATCTCTTTATAATTTATGAAGAATCTTGATTTTTTTATAATATAATTTGTTATAATTTAATTTTTTAACAAAAATCTCATCTCTGTATTGTATAATTGTTAACAGTAATGCACTTTATTTATAATAATAAATGTATGAACCACATCACCAATAAATTGTTCTACTGTCAATTTTTATCTTTTTTTTTTTTTTTTTTTTTTACTAGAAAATCCTTTATGGATACTCCGGCCTCGGGGGAAATAGCCGGGGTTATGTGGGACTCCCTCCCCCAGCCCGCAAGTTGGGGAAAGTTTACCCACTAAAACCTCCTAGGTGTGTCATTACTCGCCCGTAATGGGAAGGGGCCCGGGATTTTCTATGGAGGATGAGCTCAGGCTCCTCCCTGGGGCACCTGGACTTACCGAGGAGAGGAAAAGTTTGTGTACTCTTCCTCCCCCATGTGATACTTGCTAAATTAAGTGGCACTATAGGACACACACTATAGCGCCACCCCTCCTTGAGAAACCATGTGCAGGACTGGCCAGGACCCCCATCCTGTCTAGTCATGGTCCCTCCCGCGGTGACTCCACACACACCCAGGACGGACGGTACCGTCCCAGGACCAACAGTCACCTCGGTTGACCCACTAGGGTCCGAAAGACTTGTCCGCTGGGGCGACGGCTAACGATGGGAACCGGCTCCCACCAACGCTCGCCGCCCCAGTCCCCTCTCCCTCCCGACACCCACTCGTGCAGTTACACAAGAGAAGGGAGGGAGAGGGAATTACTGCTACCGCTGTAACGGACCCCTAAGACAGCGGGGAGTCGCACGGGGGGCGGGTGCCGCCCGACAGCCCGCCCGCACGCGCCCCCGAGGTCCCCGTTGAGGGACTCGGGCTCGTTCCCGTTCCCGTTCCCTTTCGGCGGCCTCCTTCTGCTCCATTACCGTGGAGCAGAAGGAGACCACCGCCTTCCACTTATCTTCCTCCCCCGAAGCGAGGGCCTTGAGGAGACCCTCGAGGGAGAGGTCTTCTCCAATCCGTGCGGTCAGTTCACGGCGGTCGTCGCTCCACCGCGAACATTCCTCCGCGGTGTGCGCCGCCGTGTCCCTGGCCGCCCCGCATTCGTGGCACTGCGTTGTTGGCTCTTTCCCGATTTGACACAGGTACTCACCGAAGTACCCGTGCCCGGTGAGCACCTGTGTTACCCGATAGGTGAGGTGCTCGACCCCATTCTGCAACCACAGCGCCAAATGGGGTCGAAGCACCACGACGACCCTTTGGACCGCCGCTCTTGGCTGGTCCAAATGCTGCTCCCAGTCTAGGAGCAGCTGTCGTCGGGCTTGGCGCTCCGAGTTGGCGAGGGCCTCAAGTAACGCGTTGTCCGCAAGGCCCTCCTGCAGCAGGTCGACGCGACGAGAGTATCTCGTCACGTACATTTTAGCCAGGAGGTCCAAAGGAGGTACCCCCGCCAACATGCCTGCCGTCTCTGTGGCCACGTCGCGGAAGCCGCAGATGGCGCGCAGGGCAACTGTCCTTTGCGCCGCACGGAGTCTGTGAAAAGGACTTCGTGCTCCCGCCTGCATTGCGGCCTCCGCCCAAACTCAATTTTTATATCTAGACAAAAAAAATAACATTACTTTTTAAATAAAAGATTCCTTTTTTGTACAAAAGTTTTGTGTTTTTTCGTATGTTTAATTACTTTGTTTTTTACCAAATATAACACACGCTAATATAATTTAGGTTAACAGACTACTAGCAACATGAATATTTGGAAAATAATATTTAAAATATATGTTGATAATGTTGACATAAACAATAATAACTTGTTTAAAATGTATCGCTTTATATTACAACTTGGATTAGTTTAAGGAGCGCGTTATATATTGTCTATATTATATTCTATACTATATGTCACATGAACTATAGATTTCCAGTACTGGCAGTGAATATCGCAACGCAACTCTAATAAGCGACAGAATGGGTGCGTTCAGACAACTCAACAGTTGTGCACAACGGTTGAGAGATAATTACTTATAATTGGATCATACTTTTAGAACCGTAACAGATTTTGAAGAATAGTCCTATCACAAGTAATGATCTCTCAACCGTTGCGTTTTCTGAACGTAACCAATGATGAAATAGTACTGAGGTTGGCAACTGGGTGCTTACCGCGGACAAACTACAATATAATGCTCGCTGGCGCTTGCGAGTAATAAGTGGAGAGAAGAGATAAGTAAAAGAGCAGTGTTTGTAACTTGAAATATGTTGGAAGAGGAACGGCACAGGTTGTGTCCAGTTAAGCAAGAGGGAACGAACGAACACAGAAATGCAAGAAATACAGGAATTAAAATGCAGGAATAGCAGGAAATGAAAGAAGTCAAGAAAGAAGAAATACAAAAGAAGAAATTAGAAGGTGGCTTCTTGATCTGTTGCGGAGCATGCGCAGTAGCAGACAGTTGTCTGCACTTTTTCGACTTCTTTCAATTCCTGCTATTCCTGCATTTCAATTCTTGTATTTCCTGCATTTTTTGCGTTCGTTCGTTCCCTCTTGCTTAATTGGACACAGTCACATGCTTATAAATGATACCATTACCATGCCATACAAATTTTTACAGATTAGAAATTAGATCATTTTTTAGCTGAGAAAAAAGATAAAAAGAGAGAAAAATGATTAAAAATTTTCAAACTAAAGAATAAATTAAAATTTGCTTTTTAAACTAAAAAAAATATTTTAATACATTTATTTCTTAGTGCTACTTATATAGTGTTATGTGTTTATTGAAATAAATTTAATAAGTGTAATAAATAATTCAGTAAAATAAAGAAAAAAATACGTATGTAAATATCACTTATTAATAAATTTAATAAAATATAATTTTCTTTGCTAAGGTAAGGTTAAATTATAAGATTATTATTAATATAAAATTATGTTTACAATTTTGTATATGCGATGAATCAACATGTTAAATGCACTCCAGTGCTGTTGAAATGATTCTTTTGGTCAAAATCAAGCCAAAAATGTAAAAAAAAATTTAATATGTTTTAACAAGTTTTTTTTATTTACTATAACTTTATTTACTATAGAAAGTTAATATTATAAAATTATTACCAACGCGAAATTATAATGGNCAATAGGAGTTTTACGCTGGATGTTTATTGCGGAATATACCCGGTAAAAAATTTTTTATATTTAATTATATTTAATTATATATACTTATACACAAATTAAAATTATTATATCTAATTATGCAACTTTGCCAAAAAATATGTCCATACAATTTTATACACGGAGAATTTCTTTTTTTAAGAGAATGACTTCAGAGTTATACCGACGAACGGTCACAATGTGATTTTGAAGTGATCTTTGAATAACGAAAAATATAGTTTTATATAATTTTTTCGTATTTAACATAATACTAATAGAGTTATTTTGTAATTTGATATGGAATATCTTTGAAGCCATTCTCTTAAAAAAAGAAATTCTCCGTGTATAAAGTTGTATGGACATATTTGGCACACACACCACACACACACACACACACACACATATATAAATTTGTATAATTAGATATAATAATTTTAATTTGTGTATAAGTATATATGATTATATACTAAACATTGTTTACCGGGTATACATATATATATACAGTAGAGACTCCCATAT